ATCCATCCACCCTTCGCCCGCTATTAAGCCAGGCCGCTGAAGCAAAGACAACGACTGCCGCTCCATCCAGCATACCTGTGGCCGCTGATGAAAGCGCGGAAACTATTGAGGCGTCGGAGCGGGAGCGGGACCGTTTTTGATATTATAAAGGAACACGTGACATTCCTTTCTCATGCAAGTGTATATATGTTGTTTTTGAGAGACTCCAGATACCCAAAAATAGATATTCATTGCTTTATATTATATATATAAGGGTGTGGTATTTGATGCGCACGGTTGTTCGCTCAGCCCAACAAACCGTGGCAGTTATATAAGTGACGACTATATATATATATATATTGTGCTTCCTGTCCCATTGAATGTGAATGGGTTATAGTGAGGCATCCACTTGTTTGGTTTGGCAGGCCACGGATGAGGAACTTCGAGGTGTCGGCATTGACCCTGCTACCTTGAAGAAGAACACGGAGGGCGTGCAAAAGATTGACGCTAAGGCCTCTCAAACCCTTTGGTGTCAATTGGCATGATGATATGTCGAACAGGTCTTTTGAACAGTTTGCAACTGCGTGTTCGTATTTTGACCGGAAATGTGTTTTCTCACAAACCTACACATGCGAGACGGTTCTTGTTAGATTTACTTTGCAGGATAGTGCCCGGCCACTCCCAACTCCAGCCCGAGGAACAAATGCAACCACCCCTGCGCCCCAGGACCTTGTGTTGATTTGCCTTCTCTATATTTGCAAAAGTTAAACCAGTGGAGCAAAACCAGTTATATATATACAGGAATGTTTTGATGATAGTATGCATTTGCTGTCAGTGGTATGCTTGTCTGTGTATAGAAATATTTATAGATATAGCGAAGCTTCCTGCGTTAACGCTACTACTACGGGGTACATGTATATATATATATATTCATATATATATACAGAGATCTTTTTTGATATATATATATGTTCTTCGGTTGTAAACAAATTATATATACATGCAGCTATATTGTATCAGCTTTGGAAGGAGCCTGGTTCCCAGCTGGCCACATCACCTCTGGACAACGGTTCCGGCCAGCCTGAACCCAAGCCGGGTGATGGTGATGCTGCGCGGCCCGCGCACCTGCGGACCCGGAAGGAGTTTTGTGCTCACTGTGTGCGTTCCGTGAGCGCATTGTATTATGCATTTTCTTTTGCGCATGGTTGACAAAACGAGTCTTCATAAAGAAGTGCTGCCTACTGTATGTCCATGTGCAGACAAAAACCACAATATATATAATATATGACTTTGGACTTTGGACACAAAACCACTTATGTTGCCGAATGTGCAGGCATGTATTGCCTTGCGCACGCAACCAAATATACATATAACTATATATATATATATGTGTGTGTGCGTGAAAAATGTGTTCTTCAATCATATACTATACTTTGGGATTGGTAGGAGCTGCAGCGTGAAGCTGCCAAAGCGCGGATCCGGCGGATGGTGCAAGAGCACAAGAAGCGGAAATCTTTAGAGGCTCCTCAGTTCCTTAAGGATGCTTGGAAAGAGAAAGATCAGAATGCAATGGCTAAGCTGCTAATGGACGCCAATTGGGACAAGGACTGACAACCTTTGTCATTCCACTTATGTACAATTCAACAACTATTGATTGCAGCAGTGCCTGCGCCATCAAAGTAGTGGTGCTACTATGATATATGTGCTCAAAGCTCTTTATTGTATATATCTCGGAAAATCTACTGCCACTGCCAAGTCCGGAATGCTCTCAAATACAGGACAAGTTCATCAGCACAGTAGAGGTGATTGTCAAGAGGCAGTCATCCATCACTGTGTGGGTTGATCAAGAGTGGCTGTCAGAGAAGGAAATGCGCGACCTTGGATGGAGTCCGCCACTGGCCCGCACTTTTGCACGCGTCGCGAGGCAACCTGTATCGATTGAGTATATAAATGCAACCATATATATATATATAGATTAATTGGTGTGAATTAAAGATATGTATATATACAGTTTATAGAGATCAACTATAGTTATCCTATATATATATATATCCCAAGTGCTTTCTTTACTCTCATGTCAAACTGTCCGTTGGTCCACCCATCCACCCATTTATATACTTCACTGATGGAATGCAGCTTTCAATCCAAGGAGCCGGATTGCTGGAGCAAAACGTGACTGCGAGTCGGAGGCAAAGCGTGCAACGCACGTAAGGCCAGCGATGGCAAGTTGTGTCTATGATTCATATATATATATATATGTGTGTATTTATTTCTATCTATATATATATATACAAATATACACATTTACATATATATATATATTAAAACAAAATATTTTCATGCAAATGATGCTCTTTTGAAATCACTGTTTTGCTACCCCTGCTATGGATGTGTCATCTTGTAAGATCTTGGCCCATCTTGGCCACTGTAAAGCCAACCAATGACAGGAAGAATGCCTACGACGGTGAGTGGGAATACTATGTCGTTGTGAAAGAGAAGGGGCAACGCGAGGAGAAGAGGACACAGGAAGAGATCCACAGGGGACTCAACAAGGCCCTTGTTGAGTTCTGCTTTGGACTAGCGTCACATGCGCACCTCCTCAACCTGTTGCAACTAAAGAGAGGCAAACAAATATATATATATACTGCCCACGTTACCGCAGCTGACAGGCAGAAAATGCACCAACTCTGGACTCTGATGCGTTTGCTCGCTTGGATGGAAGCATTGCCAGGGACAAGGTCAAGGCAGCCGCTAAGGAATCTGGAGCGGATCAACAGAACGAGGCCGGCTGGCTTCTGTGGCCTATATACTATATATATATATGGCGCGCTTAGATATATATCTTTCTCTGAACTATATATATATATAACAATTCATTTGTTTGGAGCGATCATTGCACGCTGGCCAGACCAAGACGACATTTCAGCGCTTCATGGCATCAGTGCTCCAGAAGACGGGCAAGCTGCGGCAATTGCAACGCGACCTGGAGGACAACTATGCGGGCAGTTCTGAAATGCAAGCGTGCCTGCGACGCACTATTGCTGACCTGCGTGCATGTCAGTTATTGTGATCAATCGTCCGTGAAATCTAGACATGCTGAAATGGTCACACACAAATATGTATATATATGTGAAACTGTACATGTGCAACTCAGGCAAAAAGATCTTCTTCGCGGGCATTTGGCGGCATTGGATAAGGAATACGACAAGTGCCATGAGACTTGGGCGAAGGGCGAGTTCCACAACTTCAATGAATCGTCCCTGCCTCATATATTTCTTAACCATTATAAACATGGTTGCAGTCCATATTCCAACAAATGAAACGCAAGACATGCGCATGAACAGTGTGCATTGCTTTTGGATGTGCGCGCATGCACAGCACAAAAGATTGCAAGAACAGTTGTATCCACTGTTCGAGGTGGGTTAAGACTGCGAATGAGACCATGAAGCAATCCACGCTTGTGTTCCATCCTCAGACAACAACTGTTCAAAATATATGTATATATATACAGATGTTGTTTGACTTAAAAGTTGCTTGGAAGTGTGGGATTGTTGGGCCACTAAATTCCGGAACTTTTGCCAATTGCTCGCCTTCGCAAGGTGCAGCAAGGCCACCGCTGCAGAAGTGAAAGCCAGGAATCTACCTCAGCTTTGTTGGCCAATTCCAGTTCAACATTTAAAACAAACTTCATGTGACTCCTTAACCCGAGGACTTCCAAAAAGTTCGCCAAGAGGGATGCCTCTGACACGCAGGACGCGCCGCCGCCCCCTAAGAAGCCCCGTGGAGAGAAGAAGGACAAGACCGAGAAGAAAGAAAAGAACACCGAGAGAAAGAAAGATAAGAAAGAGAAGACTAAGTGATCGTTCTATAGCTTTTGTTGCGGGAGCTCTGTGCGAGACCAGGTACACACAGGGTATAGAACCTGCAATGGCTATGTGAAACATGCCAGTCGTACATGGTGGTTTGATTCGTTTGTGGTATGGAACGCTGTCGCCTTTTGTTGACCTGCGTATCCTGTTGTGTACTTAGTCTGTTGAAGAAAACACAGCCAATATATATATATATAGCTTTTTATAGTCCCTCCAATTCAAGAACAATGAACTCACTGAACATGTATCTCTCTCTATATATATGTATATATATAGTTGCGGGTCTTCTGGGGATGCGACAGTGACAGCTGGGTTTGGCCACATATGCGATGACCTTCCCATTGTACAGCTGCTTCACTCTGATAGATCAGGCTTGCCGGGGTCACGTAGCAAAAAACTTGCGTCTATACATATATGCATAATGTATATACCAGGATGAATTTGATCAAAGTCTGCAGAGTCTGACCCGCAACATTGGCAGATTGAACTTGATGATACTTGCGAGACTCATATACCAGCATGCAACACTTGCATGCTGGTTCACACCCATTCCTTCAGGGATTTGGTTTCCAGCCCGCCAGGTCCCGGGCAAGCTCTCCGCGTTTTGGCTGGAGACATCGGCGAAGGGGCCATGGCCTCAAAGTGAGTTTGCAATTGGGCACACTTCTTGCAGTTGTGCTTTTGGAGCACCACCGGAAAACCCGCAGGAGGACATACGAGCATCAACGCATATTTAAATAGTATCATTGCGATGATACGTGTAAGGAAAAGCTCCAAACAAGTCATGTTGCAGTCTTTTATAGTGTATAGAGCAATGGGGGACGCATATATATATATAAAGAGAGCAAGTTTTGGGATAACGTTCAGCCAAAAGAATAGTCGACTATTACAATATATATATATATATGCCACAATGAATTTCTGAAACCTCAGAGGTTATAGTTATAGATATGAACGAATCGAATCCGTCATGTTGTTTCCTCTTTTTTGGCCAAGACCTTGGCCGTATGCTTTCCTACCCCAGCCATGGTGCCGAAGAAACACCAGAAGAAGAACTGATTGATTTGCTCAGTTGCCACCGCACCGACTCTCAGCGTAGATTGATTGACAGTGAGTCCAGTTCGAGAAGTGTTTGACTGTTCCACTTTCTATATGTTTGATGATGGCGTTCACAAGGTTGGTAATCAAGGTTTGCTTCTTTCTTGCCATGCCCCTGTCACTGCACTTGATGAGGAATCTGGGGCTCCATACGCTTGGAGGGGTCAATGGTCTTTGACTACCTCACAGGTCAAGGTTGCCGCTTGTCCAATTGGGGCCTTGGAACCCAAGACTTCTTCCTTTTTGTCAAGACTTGGCGAAACTTACGTGACCCCTGCCGGCCCCAAGTGGAGTCAGTGCTTGCCACCCCGTGTGCTGGAGCAGGCCTCCTTCCAGGCCATGATCCAGCAAGCGCAAACTCTAGACTGCATTGCATTTAGGTTGCTACCAAAAAAAGATGCACTTGCTGGTTCCATACTCAAACACTGTGTGAGTGTTGCTGGCTGCTTGATTGAAAAGCATAGACCTCTCATCTTTAAGATTGGTGTGACGCACAATGCTGTGTGGCGCTGGGAGAACGTGTTGTACGGCTACGGGGTAGCTCGAGAGCTGTGGTCAAGCATGGTGGTGATGTACATTTCAGAAGAACCTTACAGTGTAGCTATGCTGGAAGCTGCTTTGATAGACAAATTCTGTAGAGTCTTGGCCAATCAATGCAAAGCAACACATCATGGAACTGGTTTTGCCGTTTATCCCAATTATATATATAGAACCAAAAGATTGAGCAAGCGATCGAGCAATGAAACGGCAAACAAACCCTTCCTGCACATGGCTGGGATGCAATTGGGTAGTTTGGTTCATGATGCCTTCCAAGGAGAACCCGGGTGCAAGAATGTCCGTGCTGGTGGAGAAAACATCAAGCTCCCTGATTTCTTGGAGGGCCCCAGTGTGTACATGTGTTACTTTGTGTACAGGAGTTTCAAAAACAAACCAGTGCCTTGAGCACTCTTCATGATGTGGTGGCTTAATTTGCAGGTTTTGACTGCAGTGCTTCAAGTTTGTTTTCCAATTTCGGCTTCAATTCAAAGCAAAGTGTTTACAGTACAATCGCATGGATAGAAAGTGGATTGCCGTACTTTCGTACATCCAGTTCAAAAAGGTGCCATGCGTGATCGATATGGTGTGTCAAAGATCTTCCACTGTATATGGCATATGGCATGCACAGAGTTGAGTTCAATTGTTCACTGAGATTTTGTCAAATTCAGCCTGGCAAGATGTTGTTTCTGAACTTTAATCTGTTTGGTTCGCCGAGGCCACATCTTTCAGAGCTGCTATAAGAACAGCCCGAGGAGTAGTAGCAGACCTTGGCCAGGCTGCTTCCGCCTCTGGTGGTTTGAGGGAGCTCGCCTCTTGCTCTTTGACAAACTCAGAGCGAGATGGACACCAGGTCATCGCTGAACGGTTTGAACTGTCTTTACCAGTTGAGAAGACGGTGTTGCCTAAAAGTGCAGATGTTACGTACACTGGAGAGCTGGTTGTACTCAAGCTAGAGTCTTGGATGCGCTTCATGGCTGAGAATAACGTCTGGCATGCTTTATGTGGCCTGCACAAGCCCGACGCAGAACGAGAGCGGGCTATTCTTGAGGCTTTTTGGAGAAACTATCGAGCTTTACATCCGACCCACAAAATGTGGGACCTCGTGGACTCTGGCCGCCTTGATGTTTCCAGATGCGCTCCGCTCTTGCTACACGGAGACGAAGGTCGCGGTAGAAAGAAAACACCGTTCCTTTGCATCTCGTTCCATTCGGTGCTAGGGTTTGGCACGACTTCAGCAAACTCCCAGCGAACCCGCAGACCGTATGCATCTATGAGACTCAATTTTTCTGGCAGTTCATGGTTGCATAGACTTTTGTCCGCAGTACTTCCTAAGATGACGAGAGACGAACAAGCTTTGGAAGATCTGCTGAAATGCTCAGCCACGTCTGCCATCAAGATGATGGAGGAGGGTGTGAGCAACGGGCGAGGACAACAGTTCTTCGCAGTGGTGCTCAACGTTGTTGGGGACTGGGCATGGATGGTGAAGAGTGGATGCCTGAACAGATCGTACCAAAACGTTCAGAAAGTCCCTTTGACGGCCCGAAGCCAACCTAAGGGCATATGCCACCAGTGCCTGGCCGGAAGGCCCAACATCCCGTTTGAGAACTTTCGCACCTACGGCGGAGATGGTGAACATCCAGACTGGTGGCCGTCAATGTGTACTGAGTCTCCCTTCAGCAGAAGGCCGGCGCTTCTGGATATCCCCTACATTCCAGGGGAAGAGCCATGCTTTTGGTCATTTGACCTTTTCCATGGGAAAGACGTTCTGCGGTGCACTGATGGCAATAGCTTCGGAGCAAATGGGATCGTCCAGTATAGACGCCAGAATGGCAGAGTTGACGGAACATTTGATGGATTACTGTGACCAGCAGCGTGTTTCACCTTTCATCACATCCCTCACTGCTGCCAACATTGGTTGGCCAGACAAGTCAACGTACCCGAACGGGCAGTGGTCGAAGGGCCACGTGAGTGTGATGTTGGGTGGTTTTTTTGCAGACCTGGCCCAGCGCCATCTTCGACTGGATGATGACCCTTTGTTGCCGCTTGCAGTACAGGCAAATGCTGCTATACAGCATTGTATGAGCGTTCTATATGCTTCTGACGTGTGGATGACGAAAGAAGTTGCCATGGATGCGGCCAACAGCGGTCTGCAGTTTCTTGACCTTTACAAACGCCTTGCCTTGGTCTCTCACCGCCTGGGACGTCCGTTGTTTGCATTGATGCCTAAGGCACATGCAGTGGAGCATGTTTTCTGGAACCTCAAGGTGACTGCCCGCGCACACAATTTGACTTTGAACCCGTTAATCTGGTCGGTCCAGGTGGACGAAGATTTCATTGGAAAGACTTCAAGACTTGCCCGCCGGACGGCGCCAGGCCAAGTGATTCGCAGAGTGCTCGAACGGAACTTGCAGGCTGCGTGCAAGCACTGGGCAGCGGCAGGGTGGATCAAGTGAAAAAAGATGGGAGGCGGTTGTGTGCGGGGCCTTTTCATTGAGCAGTTTAACACGTTTCATGTGCAAGGTGTGTATTCTGGAGACTTTGTCAAAACACCAAAAAACAGAAAACTCGACTTTTCCTGAAATAACTCGACTATTTATAAAAACCTACGAATTTGTAGGTTCTTGGTTCCCTTGGAAGGTGTACACTAAATCAACTGGGACTTAAATCAAGAGTGTGAACACTAATGATTTGAGTCCGCTCCTCTGGAACTGAAAGTCCATCTCTTGCATCGTTTCTCCTCCCAAAGACCTGCCAAATCAACACCTCCAAAGTGGGTCTCCACACCTTGATGGCGAAGTCCGACCGAAGAGGTCGGGGCGAAGGACTTCGAAGAAAAACGTTGCCACCCTGTAAAACACTCCAGGTATGCCATTTGCCTAGCTTGGGATGCTTCCAACAGTTCTGACCTGGACCCTCCAGTTCGCATCGAACCTTGGAGGCGACGTGACGCGACGTATCGATCATTCACAACCGGCCCAGGTAGGCAGAAATGCCAGGTGTGGCACACACCGTTCCCAGACCCACATGGAACCGAAAGCGTTGGCATGATTGGTGGCCTCGACCTGGGAAGATGGATGCGGAACCTCCAGCTGCACCAGTGGCAGCTAAAGGTTCCATGTGACTGTGTCTCGTATTTCCAAGAAATCACACAGCAAACTTCGCACCGAGAAGATTGCTGAAGTGACATCGCTAAAGCAACAGATCCAGGTACGTTTTGCTTCCGAGACCCACCTGGAGCCTGAAAACCACTAGTGCACCTGGAGGTTCAGCCGAGGCATGCTAAGGCTATCCATGCATTTCCAGGTTCGATCTCGGACCTCTTCGTCGCTTCCCGCCGAACGCGGCGGTTTCCGCGCGCCGCGAAAGGTTTCGAGGTGCCAGCGCAATGCTTTCGGGATCGGCGCCAGCGACGTCTGCGCAACGTTGCAAGGTCTGGCCGATGGCGTGGAGGGAGCTGAACCTGGGGCCGCGCGGGACGCTGCTTGGTGGGCGGTGATTGAAGGGGTTGGGAGGAGATTTTGGGTAGTACAACACCGGAATTCGCGGTCCTCATGAGATTGCTTAATGATCAGGAACGGGAACTTGGTAAGAAGTGTTCCAAAACTCCTCTAAAAGAGTGTGCAGTGTACTCAGTGTGCATGATTAACTGCCTGGAGTTCACCCCGACATCGATCTTATGGTGGCCCACCGTCCGCACACCGTCCACCCCGTTGAGTCCACACACCGTCCTACGGGTTGATGGTACGGTATGGCACTCCCCATGGCGACCGATCAGTTGGGGTGGTTGAAGTTGGGGTCAACGTAGGAATACCCATGAATACCCTAGACTTCCAAGACCATTAGAAGAATAGTTGACCTGGTATTTGTAGTGTAAAATCCTTAGTTGATTCGGTAAAGCCTATTAAATTAATGGTGGTTGGAAGCCTAGGGAATATATTTCATTCATCAATGGAATGTTTGAGATCGAGGGTGCGCTCCCTGGAATATCATCATGGCCTGGCGGTGGAGAATGCATTTCCAAGTACCAAGGTCCGGGTGGTTTTCACTCCACCTAACCGATAATGATTCGTGGGAGTGTAGGCCCGCGATTCCCTTGGATTCTGTTTATATGTCTCATTCACTCCGGTTGGTACCTGTTGATCTCTCCCTGACTCACAACATGGACGTCACTAGGCTAAAACAGACACACCTGGAAAGGATTCATGTGCTCAATCTCCATGCAGCGGCTTCCTCACAAGTTTGCCATGCCAAATGTTCGATATGTTCGATGCACAAGGGCCAAGGTGATGTCAGTTTCATCTTCGAGACCGTCTCTGGCAGTTTTGCATGGTAGTTTACCAAGGATAAAGAAACATGCCTAAGAATCCGGGCCCTCGAATACATAGGGTTTGGTTCGGGTCCGGACCCCTGCTGTGGAGGGTCCCACCCCTGTGGAGGGCCCGAACTCGGATTCTTAGGGATGAACATGTCGACGTTCGTTTTGCGGAGTGCGCAGGGTAGCTCAAAGCCAAGCCCGCAAGGCCAGGGACCAAAATGACCAAGCGACTCCAAAGGCAGAAACTAGACCCAAACGCTCCATGGGACTACAGTCCTACAGCCTACATGACAATGACTGGTGGGTTGGGCTGGTGAATGTTACATATTGGCTCCACCATGGAGCGTTTGGGACACTTGTACCTGTCTTCGACATAGTTCGCTGGTTGGGTTCTGGACCGGGTGGTTTGTCGCATTGTTTAGTTTGCCAAGTCTCTCTTGCCCATGGGCATCCACGCAATAGCCATCGCCCACATCCTTCCACCCCAAGGGCACCGCTACTCCAGCCGGAGTAGCTGCTGCCTGCCACGTGCATTGGCCGGGCCTGGGGCCCATCGGGGTGTTCTAGGTGGCCCGGCATCTGAACGGCAAAATGTCCTCTTGCAACAAATCCCAGTGGATTTGAAGTAACCACTATATAAGGAGCCAGGGGTTCTAGGTCTATGGTGTTAGTCTTTGGAACCACTGGATGCCAGCTATGCAGTGGTAACTGGCCAAGGTCATAATCATCATAATCAAATACAGTAAGAGTAAGAGCTACAAAGTGATGCGACGAACCTAAAATAAACATCCATGGACCATGGACGAAACATTCGTCTTCAAACGGTCCACTTTACCTTACTGTTGGCTGTTGATGAATAGAGCCCATATATGGAGATGCACAACCATTTTGTTAGCGGGACTTGTTAATCAACAGTCTACCATCATACCTGGATATTCCAACTATGCCAGTTTCTTGTGCCTAAACTGGTTGGTTTTACAAATGAAAAGGCATAAACTTTGCAGAGTCGGGCGATCGAGGTGGAGGTCAAACCACCATGGAGCGAGCGTCAAGCGTCAAACGACCGCCGCCTTTGCCGCATCACCTCTCAGCGCTGGCCGGGGCGCAGGTACAGGAGTCGGCCTGGGCGCAGGTACAGCATCGTTTCCGTGCTTCCACGCGAGGAACAGCAAACAATGATAAGAAAAGCGAACGAGTCTGAGTCTAACTAGGGGGTACTGAAGTGCTACAAGTTTGGAGCCTTGTTGCTGATCCCAAGACTAATCACATCAGCTGTCCATGTCGCCTCTCCAATGGCTGGACCTCCCTCAAGGTGGGCTGCGTCCTGAGCTTCCCCAAAAGCCATTGCTCCATCTCGTTCCTCGGATTTGCAGGTTTCTCGCTGGTGCTGGTCGCGATGCTTCGCAAGCACTTGGAACACTTCTATGAAAACTATATTATTTAAGTAGCACTCTTCACCTGTTCTGCTCCGTCTATTCTGGTGAGATCAAATCACCTTTTTGCTTCAACACCCTGAAAAATCCCCTCTGATCAACAAAAGCGACCAAACCGCAGGCCCTGTCGAACGGGGCTCGGCTTGGGCAGCGTCTTGAAGATGGAGGGCCACAGAAGCACCGCCAAGATCTGCGAGTGTCGGTGGGTGGAGTTCGCCAGGTGAGGTGACAGGTTGTCTAACCCCCCTGTAAAATAGGTGAAACAAACCCTTTTAACACTACTGTCACTAATATGGCTCTTATGGCCTTATTGTCTTTGTTCTTTATCGTTTTGCATCGTTTTACCGTGCTTTGACGAGCTGCAACATTTAAGCACATGTGTGTGCGCAATGCATGGAGTTGTGCCATGTGGAATTGGCAAACGTGATGCCATTGGCGCAATTCATTCCAAACCAGCACATTTAGCACACCATTGTGTATGAGTGGATGAGAAGCTGCTTTATCGTTTTTGCTTCGCTATTGTTTTCGTGCTTGGTACAAGCATCAATTTCTATGAACAAAAATACCACAACACAACACTCCTCGCTATCTTTGTGAAATAACGTGAAGGGTGGTTGTTTATGTGGACGGCTATCGATGTAGCATCCTTCTGGCATCTTGTGGCAAAACAGGCCTGCGAAAACGAAATTGGTTTGATACTCTCTCAGTTGGCTGAAGAATGTGGGGGGCTGGGCAATGCTGGGCATCCAAAATTTGTTTGTGGCCAGCTTTGTTGAACATGATAAAAAACGAACAACAACAAAAATATGTTTTCATGGAACATCCCAAATCCGAAAGGTAGGTGATGGGAGCTTTTCTTGTTGCATGCCTTCCTTTCGCCCACATGATGCTCTGATACGCTTTGAGGTTGTCCAAGAGCCCTTTTTGGACCTTCAGCTGAGCGTAATATGCTGACCCTCGTGTCGCGGACAAAAAAGAAACGACCACACTAACTAGAATCAACCAACCACCTGTCACAAACATTCCAGTCCACATCATGGACGTAGCCCAGCTGCAGGAAGCCAAGCTACACAGAGCTCGGCTCATCTTTGTTCCTTTTCCCGACTTCCGAGCCATTTCCCTGGAAAATACAGGTTCACCGCCTTGTTCATCCTTGTTCCACCTGGATTCGAGATGAGTTGAGTGGGGAAAAGCCAGGGTTCACGCTTGCAAAGAAGCTTATATCATCCACATTTTTGCTGGGTAGGTTCCTGACCATCACCAAGGATCAATCTCAATTCCACCACTGGTGATGCACCCCAAACACACAGAGATGGCCCTCCACAGAGCTCCACGGACATGTTCCAAGAAGCCAAGGCGATGAGCTGTGCCAAGAGCAGAATCAAGGGAAAATTGTGAGGACATTGACAGGTTTCGTCCAACCTCATCAAGGTCAAACTCCTTCATCCGATGTGTCTTCGTCGCGTCGTGAGATGAGACAAAGGGGCCGGATGTGAGTTTTTCGGGGCCGGATGTGCCTTTGCCTTGGGGTCGGAGGTCCTTTTCTTGGGGTCTGGGTTGGGGTCCGTGAGCAAGCTTCAGATCTAAGAATATTGACTATAGACTATAGATGTGGACTTTGTTGAAGAACCACGGGTTGCAAAAGCAGGGAAGCCTGGACAAGAAAACAACCGCATTTGGAACACCTGTCACCTGTCCGCAAAGTTGTTATGCAGTCGCGTTTGGGATGCAAAACGTAAAGAAGACTGTTACCTCGGATGGGATTGGCACGTCTCGAGATCAACTTGAATCATGTAGTGAACTGCACAGCATGGAGATGGAATACACGGCGTTCGCATTGTGCAGTGGCATGGGAATACAGGTGGAACTAAAGAACGAGGACATGTGAGGCACGGATGGCGTCCAACCTCCCTCCCAGGGAACACGCAGCCCAGGGAACACGCAGCCCAGCAAGGAGAACACGGCGATGGCGACTAAGAGCCCGATGGTGGCCATGAGGTGTTCCTCGATGAAGGCAGAAAACGAAGAACCACCGTCAACTGGTTGCTGGATTCAACTCACTTGAACACATATGAGCCTGGAACCCCAAACAACCAGAAATTAATGGATGTTTCCACAAACAGCCACTTGCTATGTAAAGGACCTTGATTGCCATATTGTAGCATCCAATTGTTTCTGGTTGGGACTGAGGTTCCAGTTTCGACGTTCCTCGGAACCGAGTTTAAGTTCCGAAATCCGTGCCTTTCCTGGCGCTCGGTTCTTTCAGGGCTGCTTCTAAGACTTCCACTGCCCGGGAGTGGCTATAGATTGACAATATACACATATATACACCATACCAACATTATGGGAGTGGTATGGAGTAAACCACGGGGTTTCCTGGGAGTGGGCCCAAACGAAGCTCTCCACGTCGACGAAACGCGTGAAAATAGACTCCCCGGCCAGGGGTCATCGGTGGACTGCGAAAGCTCCGAGACGGCAAAGAAGAGCAGCAGGGGCGCCATGACCACGGCGATCATGGGGCCAATCCTTAACTTGGTTTCGGTTCGTTTGCTTTTTGGCCGTGTTTGAAGCCGCTTTGATTTCACCCCATGGATCAGCCCAAGTGGCGGCATATACGGTATATGGCTCAAAACAGCTAGCAGGCACACGGGTTCGTGAAGTGAAAAGTTGTCTGGTGGGAGCTTTAAGTAGTCAACAACAAGTACACAGCCATGATTCCAAACACTTCATTCATTGGAATACATGCCTACATATAATTACCAAGAGAACCACCCAAATATAGATGTTATGCCAGTCCCGTGGAGATCCGTCTATGACACTATGTGAGTGTCTTGGAATTGTACATGTTGCATGGATCAACCAGTTGGAGGCTGCCTCAACCGAGGGACTCAAATATAGGACACCCGCTGCATCTCAATGCAACATACAATGCAACGTAATTATTACAATTCATATCTCAAGATTCACATCCCTCTACCGGGTCCCAGTGTTCAAAAAAGCCGCCCCAAGGACCTCCAAAAGCTATCAAAACCTGAGCTGGACATTGGGTGAAGGATGGTGAAGGCTTCCGCTCATCGATGATCATGCCTTCACCATCCTTCGCCTGGTTGACCCTCCCCGCAAACCCGAAGACCCAGCTCCAAACCGCCGGGTCAACTCGCCTCTCCACCTTCGTTCCGAGTTACGCCCAGAACGCCCCCCCCCCCCCGGTGCACTGGGAACCTTCCGTGTCGCGCACACGACCGCGAGAAGCAGCGGCACGACGCGAGAAGCAGCGGCGAGACCGACACAACCACTGTTCCGTTGCGTTTTCGCCACCCGAGGCTCCAGAACATCCATCCCGACTTCTTGGGCCGTTGCTTCTTGGGCATCGCCGGTGCGCGGTGCGCGCGTCCCCCGTCCCGCACCGGACGCAAACCGGACGGTGCAAAAGCGGGGTGTCCGGATGGTACGGTGACTGGACTCCAAATGGACGGTTGGGGGGCGCCCGAGTTCGGTGGTGTCCGACCCAAACAAGAAGAACCCAAAACACGGAGAGGCCAAATGGGGTCTGCTGATGTCTGGGACTGTCTGGGACTGTGAGGGGACTCCAAGGACAATCGTAAAACAAGGTGCACTTAAGTGACTCTTGAGTGGAAACCCTTGATGTGGCTGCTGCTGCTGCTGCTGGCGTTTTGTTTGTGATTGACTTTGGCTTTGTTGTGACCGTTGCCCACTGGCTTGAGACATTCAACCTGACCTGTGGCTCGATTTTGAAGTAAAGAGGCAAACTCTTGAGCGCTCTTCTGCCTGATTCATCTACTATTACTATATGCAGTAAGCCAGCTGAGCGGGCGAAGTGCAAATCAACAGGATGCAAATGATCTTGATATGCGTGCTCTATGCTGAGCATATGTCATGTCCAGCTGAATAAATTTGTTTTGTAGACGACCTCAATGTCATCATACTGGTCAACTTAGCCTCATGCTGGCCTTGAATGGCCTTGACTTTACTGTGGCAAAGAAGTCCCCTTTCATTCCTTTTTGTCTTGGAGATGGCCATCTGGCATTGTTGATATTGGTGCTTTACGTCTTGTGGGCTCCGGAAAACGGCCCAATGGCACGGTCCATGGAAGTGACTTCCGGGGTTGGACACCTCATTTTCTGCACTGTTTGCTTGAGATAACATGCGGTCAGCCTGACTGAGTGGACCTTCAAAGATAGCTTGTGCGGCTGTTGCCTCGTTCCCCTCCCATCCTGTCCCATTCCAATCCATTCTCACTCTTTTTGAAAGTTCTTCATTTGCCGAATCTCCGCAATTCTCTTGCGACGTCCTGTGATTTTTCGCATTTTTTCGTCCAGGTGCTGAACGGCCTGTTCCAGCTAATTATGTAACATGGTCCTAAACCTGGTAGCAAGCACCAGTCAGCCAACATGAACTGGGTGAGTGATCCTCTATATAATTGGGGCCAACATAGGGACTTTCGAGGGGCCTTGAGTTCGCAAAGAGCGTCACTCACTCCTTTGTCTGCTTTCAGTGCTGGAACGGGGCCCTTGAGCCAGTCGTGCCGGACATGCGTTCTCTTGGTGAACACCGAAACTCTGATCGCCGCATCGTGGCCAGGCGAAGTGTGGCCGATGCATCCCCAACAAACGAGTGTCTCTCTGGGGGGAACGGTATAGATATGATCCAAACAGCACCCAAACACTCCATATCTGTGGAATATATGCCTAGTAATAGTATGCAACTCCATACATGGAGTGCTTGGGGCATGGGACTGGCTAACCTTCACCGATCTGTTCCATCTCGGCATGTCACCTCCGCCGGAGGTAGCGCGGGCGCCCGAAACGAAACGGTGCGGCGCCCGGGCGGATGGAACACCAATGAGACTCAGCAGCCTTGGCCCATCACTTGGAAAGCAACAACAAGCAAACTGGAATAGGATAAACATGGATAAACCATGGGCGTTCGAAGGAACTCCGAAAGGACTACCGTCCATAAACAGTCAGAAAGACCGAACCCGTTGGATCGCATGCAAAACCATGTGTCCTTTGAGGCATTTCCTCACATTTCTATTGGGTCCTTCCATCTTCAGGTCGGCACCACCGTTCTCTCCGCGCGTTGTTGAGCGGACGGACGCTCGGCGGGCCGTGAAACCGGCAGGCAGGTTTCAGGCTCAGCCTGTGGCCGGGACGGGATTGCAGGAAGGCATCAAATCCAGGGTGAGAAGTGGGATGGCATGAAGACCGCACGCCACAGAATAAGAAGAAGAAAAAGAAGAAGAAGAAGAAATTTATAAACAATGAAGACACAAAGGTACTGATACCGACCCAACATGCTTCCGGCCATTGCGGGGAGGTCAAGAAGTCCCTTCATACCCACCTATTATGTTCTGTGATGGACGTCTGTTCAGATCCTCACACCGCCCGGCCTCGGCCGCGGTATTCCATGGACGCTGGCACGTGCCAATACAGAACCTCGGCCATCCCACCATGACCGGGTGGGGGGTGAAGTGGGGTTGGAGCGTGGGCAGGAACGTGTGAAGGCGAGCGAGTTGTGACGTTGGAGTTCGTGAGTTCGTGAGGGCAGTGGGGTTTTCAGGGCACTCCACATTCGAAAATGGCCCTTGTAGCCCTGCAAAGATCATGCAAACAAATTCTGGTTTCTAGTCGCTTCTTGTTACTAGTAGTTTCTTCATGTTTCTTTCAGGTTCTCAGTCAAGTCCCCAGCACTCGTTCCAAGTATATAAACCATGATCGCCAATCACGACCGACCTTTGCACACCTCCCGAGGTTGAAGCCACCTTGCGGGCTTCCCGCCCGCAAGGTGGTCGCTTTGGGCCACCAAGTGGGAGAAGATGGACCAAAAAATGATTCAACAACCCCTCACATGTGGATGGTAAAATGCTATAGGGTGTAGATGTGATATATAGAATCTCGAGTTCCAAACCCAAAAGCTACGATGTTCTGTGGCTCCACTTCCACTCAAGGGGTCTAGTGTTTTCGTCAGTGACTCACCATTGAACTCACAGTTGTCGCAAATCTTTCCATGCATTCCTCAAGGCCCTCCTGGAACCCCAAGCAACCCGAAACAAATGGACCTTGCAATATATGTCAATTCATACAAGTAGCAAGTGGTTGGGACTGTGGTAACATACATCTATTTCCGCTTGCTTGGGACCCCACTCCCGGTCCCCCAAAACCGCTCCGGCCACGCTCCAGTCCGCTTCGGTCCAGCCCAGGCCGTCCGGACACCCACGAAGGCATACATGCAACAAAGGATGTATCCCTTGAACCTCGGAGAGACAGGCTGAGACAGGCTCACATGAGGTTGGAGGAGACAGTTGCGAAGGTGCAGCGAAACCTTTGGCCAAATTTTGGATGGTGAAGGTTACTTTGCCCAGAAATCGATGGCAAAAAGGACGCGAAATCGACAGAAACCATAGATTCCACAGAGGGCATCCTTGGGATCTTCCATTTGGATGCAAGAAATTCAAGGCATGCAGCATGCATCTACTCTGCAAAGAAGAGGGGGACTCCCGCATCTACTCCGCTCCACTGCGATCGATGTGTGACACAACCGCCAGCGTGTTCGACGGATCCCCAACGACCGTTGCGACGTCCGGATCCCTTTGGGTGACACTCCGATGAGCACATCACATGGCAGTGGAGCCAGCGAGCGAGCTAACCCCCAATCACAAAGGAAAGGCCATCCACGTAACCATGTGATGTGTTCGTCAGAGCTGTGATGTGTTCAGCCGGAGATAGACGAGAAACTCTTTCCCAGAAATCGGCATTCACTCATAGGGAAAAACTCACCGAAGCCAAAGCCAAGAATTTTTCAAGGGTCCTGCCTATAGTTGCTTAAATTGATGCACCAGGCAGTCCTCGGTGCCAAGTCAAATATGCTGGGGCAAGCACTGCCTCCCTCCGAAGAAAAAAACATGGTTGCACGACGAATAATAATAATATCATCTTATATACGGCCTATAAACACCAACAACACAATCGCCAATGGCAGCACCACTAAACATCACCAACAGGATCACTTAGTAAAAGATCATTCTTTCTCAAGCATTCTCTTCACCCACCCATTCTCCCCACCCGTCTTCTCGATCACCCGACCAGTTGGACCGTCCATCCAAGAGGAGCGTGAGCACCACCAGGTTGCAGAAGGTCACGACCTCATGTGGCGCCGCGTGCCACGTCCAACGTGCGCGGACGTCTTTAAGACGTGCCAACCCCCTTGAGGAGGAAAAGGGTAAACGGATTCCAATTTCCAACATCATCCATGATCGGCGTCCGTCCTCTTTTTGAAAGTGGGAGGCTATCCGCAGCCACGTGGCGTCGGACCATGGCCACGTGGCGTCAGACCAAACCCACTCGAGGTATGACATCGACTTTTTCAACTGATCAGCATACCCAAACACTTCATGTATGGAATATATGCCGATCAGGCCAGGGGTGGTGCCAGGGGGGTCAATGGGGCGGCATATATGGCAGTCCTATGGAGTGCCTGGGGTATGTCAGTCCCAAACAGGTCGTGGAAAAAGGCTTTGAGCATCCCTCATGGATTTTGGTCCTCCAGTTATTGCAGCCGCACACCTGGCTGGTGCTCGCGATATTTAAAAGAGAGAAAAACAACAAAACACATATTAGGATGTTTTAGGTCAAGGCGCTGCGGTATTCAAGGCACCAAAGTCCAAATCCAAGGGCTTCTCCTCGCGAAAGGCAAATTCGTGCGAGGAGAATGATGGGAGGGTGACGGAATGTCGATCATACCGGTTGAGGAGCCCCAACATCCGGAGAAAAGCCTTAGCGTAATTCTGTTGATTTCCGACATATGAATGGAGATGATGGAGCAGTCAATATTATGATCTCCATCAAATACCACCGGTATTTGCGTGAAAGTTCACCTGACGTTCACAAGCTGATATCGTATCCAAACACTCGGATCACGTCATGGCCCACCGGTGCAGTTCCAACACGCTGTCCACCCTTATGCCAAGGATCCTTCTGCCCCAAACGACTCGACCATCCCAAAAGTGCGCATGGATTTTTGGCACCTCACTCCTACCTGAATCCCAATCCAAGTTGACATTTCAACGTGAGTTGAGAATACTGTTTGTTTAATTGAATTTGAATGGAGATCTTCGCTGCTGAACGGATGTCTTCCGTATACCTAAACGGATCATTGATATTGTTTACGCTAGTTGACTCTCCAACAGTGATGTGTTATTTTGTTGGATTCTAATGGAGTAGCAATGATTTCATATGATTTCTGAACGGAAACAAATCGTTGAAAGATGTTGAAAGCAAGACATGTTCCTCTCGAAAAGACAACAGTATACGTATATATAGTCGTATATATAGGTATTTCAAACTTACGAACAGTCTCAGGTAGTACTCAGGTGTATCATCGTGCGTGGGTGTGTGTGTGTGTGCTGCTGTGTGTCAGTGGTCAGTGTGAGTGAAAGTGTGCCTTTTTTTGAGCACCGGCACTTGAAACACCACCACCCACCTCCCACTGCGGTACCGCAGCAGTATGATCAGTATGCAGCAGTGCTGGAAGGTTCCCCATACCCGGCTTCACCCGCCTTAACCCTCAGCGATACCATGAATACCCCACTGAAACCACAAAGTCTTCACTAAACAGTGCCACGATCATTCCACAGAGCTGGTGTAGACTGACCGGAAGGTGCTGGATTCATCCTGGTAGTGTAGACCTGAAAAATCATCCAGGTGACAGGGCACTGATTGGCCTGGGTAGATCCTGGTAGGCTGTGTTTCAGGTTGGAGTTCCGCCCAACTTCTGTATCCAATGCAAAGCATGAAAGGCGCCAAGCGTGTTCGTCGAGTTTTCCTTGTTCTCAGATTCTCAGCTTCCGTTTCTCCACGACCGCCCTGGCTTCCATACCCCGTCCGCGAACCATGCAACAATCACGGAGAAGGGAACCACCTGCACATCGAGCCAGGATGAACCAGGAGTGGCGATGCTGTTGATCCACAACTTCTGGAGCGACCTTCAAGCTACTTCGGATGAAGGGACTTGACTTTGGTCGATGTCGGATCCCTATTGGCCAATCGAAAAGGCATATCCAGCACTGAGGATACTGGTCCCTTCCTAGCTGGGGTCGGGGAAGTTCCATGGTTGCTCCGAGTTCCGGCTGTTTTTCATGGGGAAGAACTGGATGATCACCCGAGACGCGCACGGGTCGCGCTCCCGTTTTCTTCGGAAGAAGCAGCTGAAAAAGACCGATCGAAGGTCCTCGCACGTCCTGGATTCGTTCGGTGAGACAAACTCGGCGGTTGAGATCTGGCGGTTGAAACGATGCGATTTGCTGTCCAGGAACTGGGAACAAATAAAAACAAATGTCCGGAAGATATTTTTTCCCATATATTATGATGGGAAACAATAGGAGAAAACAAAAGCAACTGCCAGGAGTCACATGTCGGGGTGCCGAACTTGGAGGAAGTCAGGGTGCCCCTGTCACATCTACTCACTGGATGGGACTGACAACCAAGACCACCCGGAGCTCGGCTCCACTCCTGGTGTAAGCACAAAGACGTCACCGTAGACCCGTCTTACTTCGTTTGGTCGAGTTCCTGGTGCCCCCACGGACGGTCCAATCGATCTCATCTGCTCCGTTTGGTTCGGGTTTGGAGGGCTCCATGCTTCGGGTGAGAGAGGATGACGCCCCACGGACTCTCCCATCAAAAGGAACCACCTTTTCCCTTGAGAAGCAAACAAGAACGTCTATAAAAAGGACGATCACTACGAAGGGATGCCTCGGCTAATGCCATGCTTTCTCCCCACGAATGCCGTCCCCGCCAGCAAGGAGATCTGAGTGGCAGAACCCACCTGGGAGCGTCGCACACGTCGGGTCCCAGGCGCCATAGACTGGGCCCAGTGGAGGATGATCTTTAGGTTGCAGGTCCGTCTCTAAAATAGTGATTTGCTTGTTTACTGACTGATGACAGGTAATAGGACAAACCCAAAGGTTAGTATAGTCACTAGAATCCAAATTGTTCGAGGTCACCTCTCACGAAAGGACCAGTCATGATTGCTTCTAATATTTGGTCGCACCCCTTCTTGAGGCCGAGGAGTGCCGTTCTCCTCTGCTCAGCAACTTCTTAGGTGACTCTGTTGGTGGGGCTGCAGTTGTCCAAGTGGTGCAGGTCCAAGTAGCGAGGTTTTCACCATTTGGTCCACTTCGTTTCACCCCCCTCCGCATCCGTGACTCGCGCAACCGAGGGTTTGCGCGAGCACCGATGACATCAAGATCAAGGACGGGGGTCGGTCAGGACCGTAGGACGGGCCGTCCTTCATGGACTTGCGTCATTGACCTGAGACCGGCGAAGCGGCCCACCGCGCGTTTGGCCTCGTTGACCAGATCGTATCACAAAGGATACTCTCAGCACTTACAATACCTGGATTTAATTGAGTCATCTCCAAAAGATCTATCACCGAGGCTATGAACAGAATAGACGACCTGGGGTCGGTGAAATCGGGACGCATAGGGATGAAACGGGCTCCAGGTGCCATGGGAGTCAGCGTGTGACCGGCAAGAAGTCGTCGACATCACACGAGTTCACAGCAAAGGCAAGGCGTACGGGGTACATCAAGGCACCATCAAAGAGCCTTGTCATAAAGGTGCTGACCAGGGACCAAGAACAAGTCGACGATACTTGACGCAACGAAGTCATGCAAGAAAACGCCAGAACACTGTCCAGCACTTCTATTCTCGAGGGCCAATAGATCGAGGCCAAATCGACTCTCGAAAAACCATCTCGACTGCGGTTGGAGTCGATGAATGCCGACGGAATGTGCGATGGCCATCAGCCGACGAGGTTTTAGGCAAATTCATGCAGCCATTGCAGTCTGAGCGCCATCTGCGCGATGCTGGCCACGAAATTGGCTCGGTGGCTCTGTCTTCAATGAAGGTCTTCTTACAGGCTGCGCACAAAATTCTGCATGTCCATGCTTACAAAAAGAATCAAAAAGATCAAGGTGGTCGTGCAATGCCAGCTTACGGTTCTGCCAAACCCCGAGCAAAGCTAGGACACCATAGGACACTTTGATGGGACTGGAATTGAATTGTTGCCTATTTTTGCCTATACACAGACCCCTGATTTTCTCAACCACCCCTGGCCTGATCTAAACACAATGGCAGTCCCAAACAGCTCGTGTTGGGGTGGCAGCTGACGCATCGTCTTCCCCGCCCCACAGAAGGGCAGAGTCAGCTTCGTGCGCACGAGCTCCACTGGACTACCACCTACAGGTTCAGTCCGACCAGTCGGTCAAGTCTACGAAGAAAACCTCGTCCAGTTCGGTCGTGTTCTCGTCCTGATCACCTTCAGCACCATAAGATCAAACTGACCTGTAGGGCCAAACTGACCTTCATGCATCGAGATGCATCGAGAAAAAACACCTGACACTGACATTCCTTTTGACCTCCTTAGTCTGGATTAGGGTCGGACCGGGATTGAAACATTCCTCCAAGGCCCATTCCGAAATCCAAGGTCCCATGTCATCCACTTGCCCAAGCAACTGCGATGCCGATGGCCAAGCCAGGACGGTCCTGTTGGGGAGTCTGTTTCAGAAGTCCCTTGTGTGGATGGAGCCTTCAGTATACGCTTCCATGGAGATGAATGGATGGAGCCTTCTGAAATGTCCATATCCATGACGTTGGTGGCTAAGCTTCCACAACCATGTGATTATATAAAGGCCGAACCTAACCTATGCCGATTAAGGCTCCTTTGCCGCAGCTGAATCGTTGGAGCCAGTCGCCTGATTTCTTGGCTGGAGGGCGAATTCGCCACGTTTGGGTGGACCCCGCCAAAAAGACCGAATACCAGGGGCCCGAACCAAACCATGAAAAAAAGCAGGTTTCTCACATACAAAAACCATGTTTTTTGCAAGGGAACACCAGGTTTTTGATGGGCCATGTGGGGCCGGGGTAGGTCGTACCTCCACTTCACCGCAGCGATGCGACCCTCCCGCATCGGCACCAACGACGGCGGCATCCGCGTTCGGTGCAGAACCCGTGGTGGGTGGCAAACCCTGGGATAACACTGGGATAGTCTATAACTATGTGCAGCAGCATTTGTTTGGTACTAAACTCAAATATGTGGGGGCCCTATCTCGTTCACAAGCGAATATTGATCATAGACAAGCAAACAAAGCATGCTGGTCTACTTTACTAAAGCCAAAGTTGTTGCTCATTGAGTTCTTCAGCCTTTGTTGGATCATTGGCTTTCACCGCGCCGCCAGTTCCACGGGGTCCTGCATGGCGAAGCGGATGGCACTGGCCTCAGGGCGCTGGAAACCGACTCCGAACGCATTTCTCACGCCAAGGACGGTCCAGGAAAAGCGTGGAAAGATCACCCTGACGTTCCTCAGATTCCCTGGAAAATGATGAAGGTTATACTATGTTATACTATATGGTCGACCTTTTCTCTACCTGTTTGCCCCTCGTTTGCCTCTTTCCCCTTGATCTGGCAGTTCCCAAAACACACTCTAGGTCACAACAAAACAAAACGTTCCAAAAGCTAACGTGGGAAGGCCAAGCATGTCTAGTCCCAGTGGGGAAGCCAATGCCCCAAAAAGGTTAAAGATCAGATTATCCACTTGTAATCTTTCTATGCAGAAACACCTAAACTGCATTCGCCGCAGAACGGGCGCCGGGGTTCTGGCGTCGTAAACGAAGTCCCAAGTCCAAAGACCCAAGCCCAGAAGCATAGGAGGCCGCCTTGAAGATCTTGGAACTACGTCCAGCTTTTACATACCCTGCTGCCCATGGTTACGTGGACAATCCCCTATGTTGTAGGACACTTGGTCTTCCAAAAACAGACGTTCCACGTAACCACGATTGTTTCAGGGAGGCCTAGGGTTCCTTTTCGGCCTTGAACCTGAATTACAACGTTTACAATGGTTGCTAGAATTTGAGACCCAAACCTGGAGGTTTTCAACCCAGTGCTTCCGCCCCTCTCACCAACCAGGCACGGTTTTTTCGAAAAAACGACATCGGTTCCAACGTCTTTCACGTTCAAACAGCTCCTTCCTGAACAACAGCGGCAGCTCCTTCGAGGGAACTCCTTCCAGCAAACCGGTCGCTCCACGAAACCGGCTTTTCGTTTGGGAAGGACCTGGCGTCGTCCCTCCGACGTGACCCGGGTCGTTGCCGGAAGCGCGACGTGGCGACCCATCCACCGTCGATCGACCGCAGTGGTTAGACGTGGGATCCCAACAGCGGCCCGTTGGGACAACCGCCGAACATAACGGTCCAATTTTTAGGCAAGCCGAATACAAACTTGACGATGCACTCGGACGAACACATCACATGGTTATTGTGTGGATGGGAATATATGGCCCGAAAGGAAAACAATTTTCCTTTCCGAAGTGATGGGGGTGGCATCCACTTCCATGTGATGTGTTCGTCCGGAGTGTATGATTTATCAACTTGAGAGAACTCGAAACTATACCATCTCCTTATGGCTGGGCCTCTCCGACTGCTCGGCCTCCATGAACGCTAAACCCGTCTCCCAGGCGCGTGTTCGCAGGCGTTTCCCGCGATGGGCAGCAGTATCACGCCAATGAAGCCTCGATGGGAATTTCGACGGTGATGCGGAAAACCGCATCAAGGCGGAGGCACCAGCCAGTCCGGGTGCTTTTGCGTCGCACCGCTGACATCCGATTAATTTCTTGTCCGATGATGCACTCACAGAAGTGGAAACTGGTCTGTTGGATGTCCTCTACAAAAAGGGATTGTCCACTTGCATGTCTGAGGGAGGGTAAAATAAAGGGAAGCTTCCGGGAAGCCATGTTGGTGAGAGATCGTCACCCAAGAAACCTGCAGTTGGTCCTGGAGATCCTGCGTTTCATTTGAGGATTTCAAGACTCTCTTCTTTGCTCCTAGTAGTAAGGCCAGGAGCCCCTAGTAGCGTGTTTAGAACCAGATTTTCTGTTTTGCGGTGAGCCTCGGCCAGATTGCTTCAACTCACATAATCGGAGTGAACTCTCCGCTGGAGAGTGACGGTCTGTGGATCAGCTTCTCAATTCAAATCCAATTGCGCGGAGTGCTTGGGAAGAGCTTTGATGATGATTATTAGTGGATTGAGACATGTGCTAGGAAGTTGGCTGGGAAAAATACGGCAAGAGAACCTGTAACAAAGCAATTACCCGCCAAGATAGTATTGTTAAGTATCAACAAGAACCTCGCAGGGGCATGCTTCCCTTGAAAGAGAGAAACCACTTCCATGATTCAGGAGTTCAGGCGTCCCATTTCCATGTCATGCGCCGCGTGCTTGTCGTGTTTGTCTTCCCTCCCCCCGGTCCGCGAGCTTGTCTGTTTCTCTCCTAGCTGCTCTCGGGAAGACCATAGTCCCGGACGACCTGAGGAAGGACCCCGGGGAAGAAAGCTGTACGTGCAAAAAAAACACCGGGAAAATCCGCCCGCACCAAAGATGCTGAGGCGTTAAACTCTAACCAGTGCATGCAATGCTAGGCTAGGCTGTATAGCTTGCTTTAGCTTAGGGGACTCTCAAAGACTCCATGGTGGCGCCAACATGGCCTACCCAAAACCACCAGTCATGTAGGCTGTAGGCCATAGGACTGCAGTCCACTGGAGCGTCTGGGATGCATTTGAATCTCTGCCGTTCAGGAAGGTGCACTTTCTGATGTCAATATGATATAGTTCAATAACAAAGTGGCACAATTGACTTGATATTTTGATTCCCTTCCAAGAAGCTTCCCACCTCACCTGGTAGTTATCAAAGAAATCAAACACATCCAAACTTCATCCAAACTTCTTGAATATGCAACTTCTCTTTTTCCTCATCAACATTCAAATGATTTCACCGCCAACAGCAACCCTGCAGACCAGCTTGTGTCGCCTTATAAGTAGCACAGTCTTCGACTGCTGGGCTCCATTACATCGACTGGTGGGTGCGCCCACTTCGCCCCAGCCGCCCAGCGGGACGACTTCAGCGAACCGCCGTGGAACCGGAGAACCGACCGACGGGTGATGCGGTTCGCAGCGTCGACTCAGCTCCGCCTGGGCGATGGTATCCACCAGGTATTCCGAGTTGATGGCCTCGAAACCACCCGAAACCGGCCCCCCCGCGGTGGGGACCGGCGGGCGGACGAGGAGGCTGCGAAGCGGAGGCTTCGGACACCGAAGGCTGTGCCTTCGGGTGAAGCAAGCCCGGGATCACAGTGGAAGAAGTGGAAAGAACGGGAAGGAATTGACTTCCCCTATGGAATCCACGTACCTTCTTAGAAGATGCGACTGACTGGACCCTCCATGTCTATGCAAAAGTGTCTCCAATCACCTTCTTTGAGGGTATGTGGTTCCATAGACTTCCTGGTCTTGTGCGAAAGTGGATGCCCACCCGCAAACTAACATGGAAACCGAGAACTGACCGGTGGTTTCGACCATTTTCCTCTACAACTCAAGTACTTTTCGCGTTCCATTTGGTCCTCTGCAGGGGGGATCTTTCGGGGCCCAGGCGGTGAGCTGTCCACTTCTCCCAATCCACCTGCGGCGCGGCAAAAACGCGCCACGCGTGAGAGTGTGCGCCGCATCCAACGCGTGGCGCTGAGCCATGGCACCACGGCTAAAGTGCAAAGGCCCATCAAGAGAGTGGCCTCGAATGCCACATGGCCCGCGGATCGGCGGAACCACGAACATGGTGAGGCTGTCAGTGGGGGCTGCCAGTCCAACTAGTGGTCGATCTTGGCCAGGAATTGGACCCAACGAATCCGGGCCACCGTCCGGACCGAAGGGTTCAACTCCTGGACCATGGAGGGTTGAAGGATTCTTAGGGAAGCCAAAAACATGGTCTCCATACAGGCCCTGTTCATTTCCAGCATTTTATCCTAATTGAAGTGGTGGACCATGACTACCAGGGCTATCCTGCTCTCAAAGCAAAACCCTCCCCAAGTTTCTTTTGATCTATATAATCTATATATCCGAAGCTGCATTGAGCCTGTCGCACTTCCATTGAGTGTCTTCACCAGCATTTTCCGATGACACCCCACGCATCCTACCAGAAAAGGCCAGTGGTAAGACACTGTGCTTCAGACTGTGCATGTGAGCAACCACTCAAATTCACAATCTTTTGAAGAAAAACACTCAATCGTGGAACCACGTAACATCCTTGGCGGCGTGTGGATTTCTTCCTTTTTGGCTTTCATGGCTTTCACTGGCTGAATTCAAAGCTAAAACTGCACTCACTGCAAAAACCATACACATCCACACACACATATTCACCTTGAGGAAGTTCTATGTCTTTACAGTGAACTTTTGTTGACTGTTGCGTAAAAAGAAGCCGATAACAACTCTCTCACCCCAACAAAGGCTCATTGACCAACAGGTGCCGTCCTTGAGCCAAGTGTTTCATGCTGCGCTGACCTAATCCAAGTTGCACAACCCGCCGTGAGCCCGGGGCCAACGTCATCCTCGCATGAGGTGCGGCGCCAGGCGGTCAGGCAGTGGATTGCTTGACCTGAGAAATGATGGTCTTCGTCATGCCTGAAATGAGAGCTGAGTTCCACCTGTACACGTGCCCTCCCTGCGCAAACATTACTCATGGATGCCTGGGAAAGAAACAACACATCAAACAGGAGCAGTTTGGGGATTTGAAGTCCATGTGATGGTTCAAGCATCCTTCAAACGCAGTGCTTGGATCTCAATTACATATAATGATGGTTGCATTCTTCTAAGCACACAACATCACACAACCTGGACATGGACCTGTGGAAGATTGTTATTTGAACTTGAATAGTTACATTCAGATGACGGACCAACGGGCACTCCAGACCGGAATACTTGAACATAGTTGAACCGTTGACGGTCAATCAACCATGCCTGCCCTGAGACAGATATGTAATTTATATATGTCAGTCCCAAAGAGGTCGTGCCTACAACCATAAGTTCAATTCGAAGCACTTGATGCTTTTCCAGGTCAGCCTGAAAGCTCCTTGTTTGTTGATTTTCTGGCCTGTTTTAGTTCTTCTTTTCCCTCCTGCATTGTGAAGACCAACCTCAGTTTGGCGAATTTGACCGATTTGACATGATTTCGACCTCAGTCCTCATCTTCGTCTGCATCCGCATTTTGCTCCTCTTCTTCCAAGCCAGGACTCAAGGCATCCTCCTGGTTTTCTCGGTCCCAGATTGGCAAAGGAACGGATGGATGGCTGCATGGATGGATGCTCAGTTGATCATCACATCCCACCTCTGTGGTGGTTTTCTCTGCCAAACATCGATTCGATGGTCGTTTGTCGGTGATGTGCGGTGCGCCGCTGCATCCGAAAAATCGGAACACTTCAAACTTAAGTCTTCTGGGCACTATGTACATTGACTCCATATTATGAACTAGCTGGAACGTGTGCTTGTTTTTCAGCTCCATCCTGGGGGACCTCGTGCTCATGCGATCAGATGGAAAACACCCCGGAAATCTGTCTCAAACGGGTTTCGGCAGCGAGTTGCAGAATGAAACATCCGTGCAGACGTGGCATGGACATGCAGTCCATGCTGATATATGATTTCAAGGTGGGAAATTAATGAAACTAACAACTCCTCGAGCGTTCCCTGGGGTTTCCTCAGCCCTTGGTCGACCTTGATCCTTGGATTCAAAAAATTAAAACACAAACGTTTTCGATGGACTATTTGCCTACATAGACCCCAGGCCAACTACCCCAATGTAGGTAAATAATGGTATTTATATAATAGGCCATACATGGGGGATATGTTCTTAAAATGTACTAATCCGAGACCTGTGCCTTTGCGAGCTGAAACCACCCCCAACTGCAAAAAAATATGATTTTTACGACCTCCTCCTCTGGAAACCCATCTGAGGGCCCTGGTCTCCTCGTTTCCGAGGGTCTTCTCGTGCGTCAGCAGCTGGAAGATCAAGTACGCCACGTAGGAGGACCTCAAGCACTTAAGGTGCCAAATGCCTCTCCGACATGACTCCCAGCACGCACACGTAAAACAGTATAAAAACAATAGAGAGGCTGGCGCTGCACGGGGGCGGCACTTTTTAACCAAACAGTGTGACCACACTGAAGGTTCTTATACGGCAATAGTTAAGGCTGGGCGGCTAATTTAACTGCTACATTTTTATGCAGTACGTGCATTTGACTCGAGATCTTCGAAGTGCATTTCGACTGCGCAGGCTCGCAGAATCAGCTGGGTGCGAGCGGGTGCTCTTCTCAACTGCGCTCTCGTCGTGGCGCTGTGCGCATTTTCGGACTTGGTGGTCATTTTTGTGCAGGCGCAAAAAAAAACACGTGTTTTGTTGGTCTTAAGTCGGCGTTTCGTGGCAGGAGCGGTTTTACTTCCATGTGCAGACCTCGTGGGAGGCGCAGCACTGTGGACGCGGTCTCTGATTTCGTGGCAGGTGCAGTAGATCGTGACCTTCGTTTTCAGAAATCGGGGGAAGTCTCAAGCGAAAACTGCGTTTTGGCATCTTGATGTTTTGAAGTGCTCTTGCTGCTAAACGCCTTGGCTGCGCGATGTGAATCTTGCAGCAGGCGCAGTACTTTTTGTGCACCTTGAAGTGCAGATTTCGTGGCAAGCGCAGTTTTTTGTGGACCTTGAAGTAGCTGGAAGAGGTCCACCAGCAAGAGCCCTTCCATAGCTGCAGTGCATTTTGAAATGGGACCCACAGTCCTGTGAAGAGCAGGAGATGTGTTGAGCGCAGTGGTGAGAGGCTTCTCAAATTCCAGGGCACCTCAGCCCGCTTGCTTCCCATCCAAGAATGGAAGAAAAACATCCCACTTCGAGGGGTTGCTTCCATGCAGAGGTGAAAACATTTGTAGAAACCAAGTCGCCTTTGATGGACATCGCTTCACCGACTAACATCACCAGCCCATCCAGTCGAAGCGTCAAACGACCTTTTTTCCGTGGCGCACATCACACAAGAGGGCTCTGGAACTCAAAGGCGCAAACCCAAAGGGCGAGGTTCCTCCGGAGCACCTCTGGACGTCGAATCCTCGTGGGGAGGAGACCTTCGACCTTGGGAGGCCCGATCCCCTCAAAGCTCAAGGCTTTGGGCCAAAGAGCTTATCCTAAAACCGTCTTCAGAAGCTCAAAAGCAACTGATTCTGTGGGATATATTGCCTGAATTCCATTGATGGCCATCAGATCATACTTGAGCGAGTTTAGACGTAATTGACAAAACGTCAAAGGCAGAAACACTGAGCATTGATGTGATTTATCTGAATCACTCACCGCTGAGATGTATCCAGAAATGCGAAGTGATAGATATAGCTGCCAAGTGACAAAGATCACTGACTTGCCAATCAAATCCTTCATGGAATTCGCATCAAAAGCTGAATTTGCAGTGTAGCCTGGAGCTGATGAATTCGATGATCCAGGAACCCCATCAGCTAAACTGCCTCCTTCTCTCTTCCTTGGTGTTGGAGTCTCCTTTAGAGGTGCTTTCTCATATTGTTTGTTCTCATCAATGCCTCCAGGATCCTCTCGATTACCACGACGCTTGTCTTTCTTCTTCTCCTTTTTGTCCTTCTTCTTACCTCCCGGCCTCAGAAGAATTCCATCCACAATTCTGGCTCCACCTCCAGATGATTGTGGCGTTGATTCTGAAGTCTTCTGATCTGAGATCTCAGTCTCAGGTTGGTTATCTTTGCCTCTACCCTTACCCATTTGAGCAAGGCTGCGGAGTGTAAGGAAGTGACTCTTATACTTCGACAGAAGTGACTCTTATACTCTTATAGATAAGTTAGAGTTTAAGAACTCTAACTTCTACATATTATTAGTAAATATATTTAATTAACTGTAATGATATAGGAGCTCAAGACCTTCACGCCTGGAGTTCCAAGACCTATAGGCCTCTAGATCTCGCCTCTGCAACTCTAGAGCTCCCAAGGCCTCAGACCTCAAGAGCGCTAGACCTCGACCCTCCACCTCTAGCGCTCGACCTCGACCCTGGATCTCTGATCTGACCTCTAAACCTTGAGACCTCTCGGTCTTCTACGCCTCTAGAAGATCTCGGCCTCCATCTCTGATTCTCACTCTCAAGACCCCATTTTTGTGGATCTCTAGACCTCTGGATCTCAAGACCACTAGACCTCTGGATCTCTCTCCCATACGTCTATATATAGATCTCTAGACCATTTGCCTCTACACCACTGGACCTTAGACCTCTAGACACACTGTTTGGGGTTTCTTGTGGGCATATGTTTAAAACTATGTTTTTGGTGTTTCAACTTTTCAACCGCCCGAAACAGCAAACAAACATCCAGAGAACTCCCTTTCAAGTCCTTCTCCCCTCTCCACGCCTCTCCAAGCCCCGCTGGGCGTCCCGGGCAAGACGATACAAGCACCTATGCGCGAGACCTGCGCAACGTCACTTGCGTGACCCCCACAAAAGGGATCCCAAAAGAGGTCGGTGCCCCTCTCTGCCACGGTGGCCTGGACGTCTTAAACTTTTTTTGGAAGGTTCGGTATGGTATATTTTAAATAGTTAGGCCTAGGACCGGCCCAGGAGGGGCTGGGTCATTTTTGGATCCTGGTGGTTGATGTGTATGATCTGCATGCGATGAATCAACTATTAAACTATTGAAGACTTCTCCTGCAGAAAGACCAACTTGTGAAATGATCCATTCAAAAGGCAGTACAACCTGGAACCCCAAACAACCAGAAACAAATTGTTGTTCCAATATGGCAATTGAAATCCTTTACATAGGAAATGGTTGTTTGGGGAAACATCCATTTCTTTCTGGTTGTTTGGGGTTTCAGGAACACATGAAACTTGTACACAGAACTTGGCCAACCAATACTCTCTCTGTAAAAACCCGAGGCGAAACTAGTTCCTACTGCTACAGAAGTAGGGTGCGAACCCCTGGTGCAGTATCAAGTCCATCTCTCCTCTTTGATGGATCTTGATGAGGCCATGTTGTTCCATTTTCGGTGTTCTTCATGGGACGTCAACTGGGTGAGTCAGTCTCGCTTCCAGGGCACTATAGTCATTTCACGGCCGATGGATTCACTTGTCCAAACCGTCCAGTAGAGATGGCATGAGAGGATTCAAACCATTCTATATTCAGGATCGCAACACGCGTAAACAAAACATATTAAAGAAGAAGAAGAAGAAGAAGAAGAAGAAGAAGAAGAAGAAGAAGAAGAA